GAGAGAGAGAGAGAGAGAGAGAGAGAGAGAGAGAGAGAGAGAGAGAGAGAGTGAGAGGTAGAGAGATATAGAGATAGATAGATAGAGAAATAGAAAGAAAACGAAAAAGAAACAGCGTGGCAAAGCGTATTTCCTTCAGCACGTCACACTCTGACGGCGACTACAGAAGCCACGAAAAATTTTACACGCGCGTTGAGACTTAATCTAAGAAGTGCAGCTGTTGCCCCCAGCACTCGCATGTCGGGTATGCATGCATACAGCCAGCGCGCAGACGCATACCGCATGCACGGATAACGGCATCCCACACCGACCAGCTATATAACTCACCATCACCCCGCACATGCAGACTCTAGACTAGTTCATCGGGTAGCTGGTAGCTCGCTAAAAGTGTGTGTGTGGGTGTCGATTGTGTATGGGCGTGAGTGAGTGTGTGCGCGTGGATGCACACGTGCGTGCGTGCGTGCGTACGTGCATGCGTGCGTGCGTGCGTGTGTGCGTGCATCACATAAATATATAGATTTATTTTATTTATTTATTATTATGTTTACATTTATTTATTTATTTATATATTTATATGTCAGTGTGCAGCAGCTAGCGTGCGGCAGTCAGCGTGTGTTGCAGATGAGCATTTGGACGGCATTTACAGGAAATTATTATCGGCAATAATAGGTGAAAGAGAGTAGAGAAACATTAAGACTTTGGTAGTAAATAGATTTCGTGTTTATTTAGCATTATATTTTATGGAAACGCTTCAAGTGCATGTGGCGTGAGTCTCTACCACTGTGAGTGGGTTTGTGCGTGCGTGCGTGCGTGCGTGCGTGCGTGCGTGCGCGCGTGAGTCTCTATCTCTAAGCGTTGGTTTGTGCGTGCGTGCGTGAGTTTCTATCTCTGTGCGTTGGTTTGTGCGTGCGTGCGTGTGTGCGTGCGTGCGTGCGTGCGTGCGTTCGTGCGTGAGTCTCTATCTATCTCTGTGCGTTGGTTCGTGCGTGCGTACGTGTGTGCGTACGTGTTCATGAGCGCGTACGTGCGTGACAGAGAGGAAAAGGAAATGCGAGGTTGAAAAAGGAAGTAATATATATATTCTATGATAGAAACCGCAACAGTAAAGCCTCGCGAATCAATCATTATTAGCGCGAATTGATTCAAGCAGCGACTGCGTCAGTCTCTTACCGCCTTCTTCGTCATATCTCTGGCTCTCGATGTTCCGCACTCGGGTTTCTAGCAGACCGTACGTCGACACTGTGCACCGCTGATCAAGGCAAGCTGCTACACAGTAGAAGTGAGTGCGTGCGGGCGCCGTCCGTTTCGGTCGTGTCTGTCTCCAGGCCAGCCGCTGCTATCAGTATGGCAAGCCTCGCGATGTGCCAGGGGGGCGAGCATGCTTCAGTGGCGCCAAGCGATCGCCGGTGGCGCCACCGCACGGTCGTGACACGCACCAGATACGGAGCGGAAGAGATGATGGACGGTGCCATGCTTCACGCAACAGTAGGGGTGACCGTACGTAGAGATGGGCGAAAGTTGGGAAGTAGGTCGAAGTGGGGCAGCCGATTAAAGAGATGGGTAGTGGGTGACGGGAGTGACGGGGTGATAGCGGTGGGGGTTTGATCAGCCACGGTGGAGCGGAGCTCGTAGCGGGATGGGACGAAGATGTAAGTCGGTGTATTATGCTAACGAAGCGGGATTCAATGATAAGTAACCCACTACTAAAGCACGTCACTAATTACGCCATCGATCGGTCATTCAACAAACACTGTCAACGCTTCATCATGTGTCGACCCACAAACCTGTCCCCGTCTGTGTGCGAATAGTACAACCAACCCCGGTATGGTACAACCACCTTCCACGTCACTATCGTCATCGTCCTCATCATCCCACTACTGCTGTACACTCACGTACGTGGGCGCGTACCGCGCGTGTTGGACTGGTTCGCATCGTCGAGTCAACTCGTTGATGCAAACGAAGTACGAGTACTTTCTCGCCGCAACGAAGAGACGTCGGCGCTGTCTATGTGTGTTCGATTGCTCCCAGCGGTGGAGGCGTGGTTACTAGGCGACGCAACCGACACCAGGTCTTGCATCAGCGTCTGCGTCTATTAAAAAAGAGTAATCGTAAATGAGCGCTTCAATGAGTAAGCGGGCACCCGCGTACGCACGCGAGCGTTCTTAACCATAGATAGACGCGTAACGTCGTTTCGACGTGCCACGTATCGCCTGGGTTGCTCGTATATATACAGTATATGGCTCGGTCGCGGCTGGATTGCACACATGCACGAACTGCAGTAGAATTTTTAAATGCCAATCGAGTAGATAAAAACGTTAAAATAAACGCGCAAAGTTCTATGGAGTTATGACGGTGCATCGGCCGCCAGCCGTAGATGGCACGTACTGTAATAAGCAACAGATGCTGGCGTATTGATTATATCGCCAGCATCTTATTCAAGCAAGGCGCGTTTGTCATGCTTATAATAGTGTGAATTCTCGCATAAAATTATTTTAGAATATTATGCGTGATTTCACATATAGGGCCTACAGGCCCTTTATATTGAGGGGGGGGGGGTTCGTTCGAACCCTGGCTACGGGCCTGGGGCCTACACACCACTTAATTTATAAAGCATGTGATTAAAGGGATACGTTCCTCTAGAATTTGAGAGTATTATGATAGTAGATTTATAAATAATAGCACATACCTATAAATATCTATAATTACGCATTCACGTTTGTCATTAAACAACATTAAATTTATAAATCTTCATTTTGGGGCGCTGACATGACACCCGCGATCGTACTGCCACCCTGAAAAAAATTGCGCATTTGCCAATTTATTTTGCACGTTACAGACCAAGGGCTAATCACAAAAGTGCAATTATATTTATACCTAAATGCTATTTAACCGAACGATGTTCATTTTAGGACAAATTTATCCATATTATAACTGAATCTATATGTCGTTTATAAGACATTGCAATCCTTCTGCTCTTAAATTAATAAATAAGAAACACCCTCGGTCTGTAGCCTGCAGCCGAAACGTTGCTTTGCGCAACTTTTTCAGTGGGTGCGCTGCCAGTGGCGCCACCGTCGTTGTAAGCAACGGTATAGCCGTCAGTTTTAAAACGTTTCTTTAAATATTTCTAATATATATTGAACCATAAAACTTTTTATGAAGCGTAATTTTTACCTATCTTAGCTGAAAATATCTGAAGAACCTAGAGAAATGTATCTCTTTAAATATAAATGCGGGAAATCGCCGACATAATTTATCATCGCGAATTAATTCATCCTAGCTCATTGAATATGCATCTGGATTTATGGATATATCACAGAAAAACGATGACGTAAAGGTCACCGCATGACTGTGATTAGTCGATCGTTGTCAGTGAGCATAACTCATATCTTACAATAATTATCGATCGAACAATTAAAACTGGAAAGGTTTCTTATAACTAAGAAACAGCCTAATTAACTTCACGTCTAATAGATGCGCCACATCTGATTCTGCATGGTGACACACAGGAATGATAATATCAATATATAGGTTTATATCCGTGCTGCCAATTAATTCTATATTTAGCGCAATTAATGTCATTGGGTACGTTAATTGAACTCACATATCTCCGAGTTCCACACATTAAAATCATTAGATCATATGCTTGCTCAGCCTAGAGCGGTACATGAAATTATGGCATAATAATACGTACGTACAAACGTTCTCGTTAAAAATATATCTTTGCATATTTTCAAGCAAACCCCTAATTAACACCACACAAAATCCACCACCCCCACCCTAACCCTACCCCACACCTAATTAGCACCTAATTAGCTGCCACACACATAAGACGTATGTCCCGACGCACATGACATGGAAGAGATGACAAGCTCATGTTCTCTTTTTTACTAATGCACCGTTATTAAATGAATAAATAAGAATGATGAAAATTATATTATTTTTGTGTCAAGCTACTATGACGAGTATTTTCTCTCCATAGGACACCTTAGTCTATGGAACCATTTCGACGAATACTATTTTATTTAGCTTAGTATATTAGTTATTTACTTCAGTACATGTACTTGTATTTGAATTACATGCAATAAAGATTTAATAATAATAATAAAATAATAATAGCAGGTACTGGGCATGCGCGAAAACAGGTGTGGTCCGGCTGTACTGTTGTAAACGCGGCGTGGAGACTTCAAGAAAACAATATTTGATGAAGACTGAAATTACATATTGATGTCTAACGCATAATAGATAGTAATACGTATGATAGACGTTCTTGAATATTTTTTGTGGATATTGGATAACCGTCTCTTGGTTCATATTGTAAACCAAATAATGATAGTAACACATAAAACTTCATTTCTTTACCGCCGCACGGCGCTACTATCGTTACTTAACATGGCTGCGCCCAGGCAGACTTTAAAAATAAGAAGTATACAGGATATTTGTCGGCGGACAAGACATGTCCTGTAAACGTACGTTCTAGTAAGTAGCCTTGAGTCGTTGCTGAGTTCATGCAGGTTATTGTACTTTTGAAATAGACGTGTTTTATTCCTAAATAAGATAAGAAGCGCCGATTATGCATCGGCGACGGTTTCATTATTCACGTTCAACTTCAAGTTTATCTCAAGATCATTTTTTCCCTTCTTATTTACAATAATATTATTATTTTTGAAACTTCCTATTTCCTACTGTACTTCATAGTTCACACGTTATCAATTAACTGCACTTAAATCAAATGCAAATTCAAAAAATGTTTATTTGAATTTGTGCATATTTATAAATTAGTTAGTAAATTAGTACTTATTAATATTAGTAGTAGAACTAGAAGCTAGTAGTAGTAGTACTAAGTATAGTAGTAATACTAAATTATAACAATGTAGAACGACACAAGTGTGAGATATAACACGTTATAGTACATAATTATCAGATGCAGCACAGGAGTGGCGAAAGGCCGGCAGGTCATCGAAGTCTGCCACTACTCACACAAGCCGCATATTCCAATCTTGCAATTCAGGAATGAATCCCGCGCCACCATGACGGACGGCATCTGGCAGATGGTCATCCAGATCATCCATGGCGAAATCGAATTCGGCGAAGAGCGCGTCCAGAAAGACTCGGCGCTCGACCCGTCGATCTGGTCGTCGCAGATCACCGGCATCCCGGGGACGCCGCCGCCGCACCGGCGTGTGTACGAGGATCCGGACGTGGACGGAGACTCGCGTGAGTACCTGCTCGGCTCGAGCGCCGCCTTCATCAACATCCTGTTCACCTACCCGGTCTACAAGGTGCAGTTCCGGCAGCAGCTGAGCGGGCTGACGGTCGGCAGCTCCGTGCGGCAGCTGCATGGCGAGGGCCTGCTTATGCTGTGGCGTGGCGTGCAGCCTCCGCTCATCCAGCGCTCGCTCAACATGGGCATCATGTTCGGCATGTACGACCAGTCGAAGCGCCTCATCCGGCGCCACTACCCGCACTGCCCGCCGGGGTTTTACCGCCCGGCGTCGGCGATGCTCGCCGGCTGCGTCGAGGCGGTGCTGACGCCGCTCGAGCGCGTGCAGACGCTGCTGCAGGACCCGCGCTACAACGAGCGGCTGCGCGGCACGTACGACGCGTTCGCGAAGCTGCGAGCGTACGGCGTCGCCGAGTACTACCGCGGCCTGTCCGTCATCCTGCTGCGAAACGGCCCCTGCAACGCCGTCTTCTTCGGGCTGCGGCACCCCGTCAAGAACGCGATGCCGGCGACGACGCACCCGCTGCTGACGCTCGCCGAGCATTTCGCGAGCGGCGCGCTGCTGGGTACGTTCATCAGCACAGTGTTCTATCCCCTGCAGGTCGTCAAGACGCGCATGCAGGCGAAGCTCGGCGGAGAGTTCCTGTCGATCGCGCAGGCGGTCGCTGCCGTGTACCGCGAGCGCGGGCACAGCGTGCGCCGCATGCTCATGGGCGTGCACATGAACTACGCGCGCTCGATCCTGTCGTGGGGCATGGTAAACGTCACCTACGAGATACTGAGGAAGCTCGTCTACCCGTGCTAGCGACGCCGGCGGTATCCTCCCACAGCAAGATGGTAGAACCTCAGGGGGGGGGGTCTCGTGTAGGGGTCCTATGAAAACCTCAGGTTGAGAGCTTGTGGAGCCTCGGGTGAAGCGCATCGAGAGGGATGCACAAATCTACCTTGTATCCTTGTGATGTGGGGCAGGTTGTTTCTTGTTGATGGTATTTGTTGTCTGCCGGCCATTCATCCATCTATACGTTTTTTTTCCGTCCATCTGTCACTCTGTCTGTCGCTCTGTTCATCCAGGCCATTTACCCTATCAGTCCTTTCATCCATCCATCAATCCAACAATCCAACAATCTATCCATGTGTTAATCGTTCAGCAATACAAAATTATTAAAACATTTTGTACCAAATGTTAACAGACATTGACTTAAACAGCAATTTTAATGTATCCTTGTATGGTTTATGTTTGCATTTTATAATACAGTGCCATAATAGTTGCGTGCCATGCTTCTAATGGGCCCTAGCTATAGGGGCCTGCTCTCTGCTATGCTAATTACTATACTACCATACGTACGCTTCATACCATGATTTTGTATGAACATATCTTGATATGGATATATATATATATATACAGGGGTAGAAATTTACTTTTGAGCAAGGGAGTCCGCAGCAAAATGAGGGAGTCCGTAGTGTGAAGTTAAAAACTAAATATATTAACAAACGCATGTGCTTATTTTGAAGATTCATGCGAGTGCACGTCTGCCAAATTTTCTTTGGACATTTGCTGAAAAAATACGGCAATTCCGCGAGGCCGTGCGCTGGAACGAACTAGTTAGTATAGCAGAAATTTTCAGGGAGTCACACGGACTCTTGCATATGTCAAATCAGGGAGTATTTGACTCCGGACTCCCGTTAATTTCGCACCCTGTATACATATGTATATATAGATAGAGAGAGAGAGAGCCAGCCTTCGCTTTCTTTGGGGAAGATGTTTTCAGCATGAGGTTGAACTTTAGTCAAGTTGCTAAACCAAGTCACGCATGGTAGTGGTTAATTATATAGGCCCTTGCGTTAGCTATCGTTTGTGCTTTCCAGCTGCCATATTATTTTTCTATTAAGTGTACATTGTTGTGGTTAGAATATGGATTATGATTAGGGTTTAGAGTCAGGGCAAGTCATGCATGGTTCTGATGCGTTTCGTTATATTACATATCATATCGTTGGTACTGTATCTCTAATTATAGTTTCCTAACATGACTATTTTTAGGCATGGTTATTAACGGTGCTACCCCCGCCATCTAGCGGTACCAATCTCTCTCCTGTATTATAGCAGAGCATAAATCTATTTAATTTATATGCTCTGATTATAGAGAAGTTGTGCGCTAGTGAGCAGTTGTCATGTATTTATTGTATATTATAGGCTATTCGTATACAACGTGGCAGCTTGCTCGTGCATAATGAAGTTTATATGGAAGGAAAAAGCAACAGTTGTTATTAGTTGGGTCTGTGTCAAATGCATGTTGTATATTGGCCTGCCGAGTGCATGAGAATATTTAAAGCTACCCTTACCCAAGCTAGTTGTCGGCGTGATTTACACGTGCAGATGTGGAGGAGGAGGGATGTTAGTTTAGTTTGTGTGAATGCACACAAAATCGTGACTAAATAATTAATGGGGAAAACTTTGTTGTTATAACGACCTACCATATCGACCTCAAGGAAGTGATGGCAGAAACAGTAACTTATGTTGATATTATTACAAATGAATGATGCTAGATGTTATTTATGTGGAACTATTACCGCGTTCACACGGTAATGGTTTGGCTCGGGCTAAATTTGGCTCAGGTTAAATTTGGCTCGGGCCGGTTTAGGTCGGAGCGTTCACACGTACGCAAGTGAATACTGTGTCAAATTCAAATTCAAATTCAAATAAATTTTATTGCACAAATATCTCACAGATACTTTGGCAGTATGTCGCGAGATGGCGTTGTGTACGATTCAGTGTTTACTTCCGTTCCAAGTTCAATTATCAATCTTGAAAACATGCATCCTGATCAAATTTTTCGAATTAAACACTGTTTGGACTTTATTTCGTCGAAGTACACATTCGACACTCGCAGCATCTACCGCTCTACCGATTTAGCTGGTGCTAAAATCTGGCTCGAGTCTGGACTCTGGTCAGACGTTTTCGATGGGAATTAAATTGACTCGTGCTAACTCGGCACGGCCCCGAAAAACCGTCCATGTGAACGCTCGGCTCGAGCCAAATTTGGCGCGGGCCTAATTAGGCTCGGGCTAAAAACGTCCGTGTGAACGCGCCTTATGTTGGAACATTTATTGAATATGCTAGACTAAAATGTGCGCGGTTGCCGTGAAATATTCACAAGAAAATATCTGTGAAGTTATAGACTCGGGAAGTTCTCTCTCAACAAGTATTATATAGTTTGTTATGTTGAGAAATACTCAGCAGTTTAAAAAGTATACATACTGCCTGTTCTACATGTGTATAAACACACATCTTTTACAGAGATACATACATGTTAAAATTGTGATTTTTGCATGTAGTCTATCAGACACGGTTAAAGCCCGACGCACCCGTGAGTAATTTTACTCAAGTAAAATGATGCATGCATTAAAATACTCAACCAAAATCCGCTGCACACGTGAGTATTTTGACGCATGCATCATTTTAATTGAATGAAATTACTCACGTGTGCGCCGGACTTAAGATTACATAAATGTATCACATCACATTTTATAATGGACGTGGTACCACTTTATGAATATGCAAATTGCATCAGGATGTAGAAAGTACTGACGTTCATAACTATTGTGGGGAGAAGGTTTCCTCCTTCTCCCATATTCGAGTTGGAAGTGTGATGCATAAATAGATAAAGAGTTCAGTTGAGGTTTATACATAGGCTTTTATTCAAGTACACGCCTTTATTTGACAAAACGAGTGAGATCTCACACATACGCACATATACACACATGCACCCAATATTCATGGTAATACGGACAATAGAAACAATAAATCAAGACATCAATGAACATAGCACAACAATTACATACAATGATTTACTTATTCATAAATACGTATAACACTTCTAAACGAATAACCGAACTAAGCAAACAACTAGTACATACATCCACAACGTGGCAAAAATCATCTAAATTCGTACAGAAAGTCACACTGCTAGATAGCCGGGAGGGACTGCAGTGCCTGGTGAAGACTCCAGCACTCCCCCACGGCTAGGAAGCACAGCTACCCGCCGCAACCGTAAAGAACCACCCGCCAAGAACATTCGCTTCCAACGCAGTCCGGCGACGGTGAGCCTCTACACTTCCCCTAGCTTCCTCTTCAATCCACTTGCTGTTCTTTACGTCTGCCTTACTACAGTTTTATTACAGTCCGTACATCCCTCAATATTTTACTACAGTCTGTACGTCACTCAATCTTACTACAGTCTGTACGTCTATATAATTAACATTCTGTACGTCACTCTGTCTATCATTAAAGCATGTACGTAGCTCTGTCTATCATTAAAGTACGTCGCTCTGTCTATCATTAAAGTACGTCGCTCTAGCTATCATTAAAGTCTCTACGTCAGTCTATCTAACTGTTAAAGTCTCTATAGGTCGCTCTGTCTATCATTACATGGCTGTACGTCCCTCCATCTATCATTAAAGTCTGTACATCTCTCTACCTATCATTACAGTATGTACGTCGCTGTCACTTACGTGCCTTGATGAGCAGAGTCGCCTGCGTGACGCAGTCATCCGGAGCCCCAGTCGACACCCGGGTGAGTCAGCACAGCGAACGCGAGGGGTAAAGACAGCATAGCTATCTCTCTCCCCTCTTCGCCGACCACACCCGGGTTGCATCTGGGGCCCCGGGATCCCCGGTCTCCAACCACATAGCACGGTCGAGCCGTGATGGCGTGGCCGCTCGGAGACGGTTCACCCGGCGCCGAGGGAAAGTGTAGAGCTCACAACGAACGCGCGCTCTGACTGTTACGAAGTAAGCGAATGTCTTGACGAAGGGTCTTTCCCCGGATACGGCAGCATGGTGACGATTTCGAAGGAAGCGTCACGGCAGATGCCGCACGGACGGATTGCACCGACGCTACACTTGAGTCAGTTGATCGTAAAGGACTAACGCATTGCACCCGCCCACCGCTTATATACAGCCACCGCTCGCGCCCCTGTCACGTGACACGGGCGTGACGTTTCGCTATCGACCGACATCTTGGGACATCCATTGGTAAACTATGAGGGGTGGAAGGGTCGGGCATCGACCGCAATATAATGTGAGAACGAGTGGTAAGCTGTATAGCCGGTATCGGCCTCACTTCTGTCATCTTTAAAATGAATGACGCATAGCTGTTGCCTGTCGCGCGATGCTGTGAAACGGAACATGTATGTTTTGGCAAGTCGCCCCTCTCATCCATCCGTAGGGCACACCCCTTCATTAGCAGTGCGCATGGCCGAGTAACCGTGACAGCGCACAAACAGTAGTCAACAACAACAGTTCAAAAGAGCGGAATGTGGATGCTATTTTTAGCATATGACGCCAATCGTTGCGACTGCGTAGATCAATGCATACATCACGTGACTCTCACAGCTGGCATCAATCGGAAAACCCATTCGACTCTTCCCGTCATGCCTAGAAAACAGTCAGCGCTATTCTCTGAATGGTCCGAGGGTACCCGATTGAGCTGGCATCTGCAAACGCACCCGCAGTGGTGCAACTTTCGCGGAGACGATTACCTCCCCTTTGTACACATTGATAAATCGGTACACGAGCCAAAACCCGGTGCACACGTGGCGATTTTTATCGACAGCACGTAGGCTTATAAATTTCGCATTTCTTTTTGCGAAATATCTCTTATCTATCTCGCCACTTGGTGAAATGACAGCGTATACGTAGTCACGCCATCCACGCACGCACGCACGCACGCACGCACGCAAGCACGCACGCACACTTGCACCTCCGCGCGCACGCACGCACATTC